CCTTGGCTTGTAGTAAAAACCCAAAGCTTTCTAATAAACCCAAGCACTGACTGTGACTCACCAGGGAAAGCAAGAAGCCTGTCATTTTTGGTGATGACAGCACTGTATCATTCCCACTTTCAAGTTAAGATGTAATCTCAGAAAGAGACGTCTTTGTCAAGTAATATCTGTGTTTATTCTAAACAAAAATAGTTCCGTCAATTTTAGTAGAAAATATTACGAAAACCGGCAAGAGTAACTTAAATCTTTTAATCATCAAGAAATCTGTGGCCATTGGGGCTTGCACGGAGAAATCCAAAGTCATTCAGAGGCCAAAGCTGTAAAATAAAATACAAGAGATTTTAATCACAACTCCAAAGTTCAGTGTTTTCATTTGTTAGTGTTGTTATTGTTTCATTAACAGCGTATTTTTTCATCTCTTTGGTTGACAGGGTAAAGAACTTTCCTCACCCGCATGTTTCTCTTATGGGGAGTAGTAAATACTGTATTTCACAGGGAATCATTCCAGAGTGGCCAGGCACAACACTCATTTATACAGGGCATGCTTTGCTATGGAGAGCCTCACAAATTTCGTTGCTGTTTTCAGCCTTGGAAATAAATATGTTCCTAAAAAATATCTTTCAAATTCAAAGTTTTCTAGCTTGTAAACTTCTTCATGACTTAAAAGACAAGGTATATATTCTTTGATCCATCTGGGTGACAAAAGAACACCGTGCACATGGTCCTCCCCTTTGTGAGGTGGACATTTGTATTTTCAAGATGAGCCTTTGAACTGCAAACACCAAATATTGGGAAAAACATATCTATAGGCAAGTTTATACCATGCAAAGAGGTATAAAGGGGTGGAGGCCCTGCCACCATCAGGGCTCTTGACCAAGGGCCTCCTCTGAGAAGGGGACAGTTATTTACCAAAGAGCACAACTCATGGCCAAGCACAAGTGTCAGAGAATGATGCTGACCAACAACAAAACAACTTCTCTCCAAAATAACTGTATAGCTGTTCATAATACTGAGGGCTCCCAGGAGTACCTGGCTCTGGACGTTCACTAATTACATGTAGGATGGTCTTGGATGCAAAAAAAAGTAATAGGAAACCAAGGACATTCTTTTACACTTTGTCCTTTGTCTCCCTTGACTGCCTGTGTCTCTTCACACCCCCTTTCAAAGATGGCACGAGGGGATCAGCAGGAAGAAGGGAAAGATGCTGCTGAAGAATGAATGCCCTCTGTGGCTCTAATCCCATAAAAATTTCACAGCCCCTGCCCAAGGTGAAGGGGCCTAGACAGAGAAGGATGATGCACTACCTTGTTCCCACAGCATCTGTCAGTCTTATGTTTATCTTGCTCATTTTTCCTTAGAATTTGATCTTGAGGAAGGTACACAGTCACTGTCCAGGAACAGCCACCTACTCTGTGACTGAGTTAATGGAACAGCCCCAGCACAGAAGGACTCTTTGCTGCTTTCTGTGTGAAGAAGGAATTTTCTCCTTTCAAAGAGGAAGCACAGTGCCAAGGTTCAATTATTTCTAACCCTATGATTCATCCCCAGCACTGAAGACCATGACAGAAGGGGCAGAGAGAGAGTTAAGGATGGGAATGGCAGCACAGCATCATTCCTGCTGCCTGGGACTGGGCACTGCTGGAAGCTGCCTGGGCTCGCCTCTGACAGGCCCCTTGCAGCACTGTGCTGAGCTGGACTGGGCCTGGGCCCTGGGGAAGGCAGAAGGATGTGAGTCACACTCAGGACCTCAAGTTCTGTGGATCAGCAAAAGGCTCAAAGCTCCCCTGTGCAAGTACCTTGGAGAATACCCCTGGGTTTGGCACGTGCAGGGAGGGAAGAGCACGAGCAACATCTGCTGATACACAAAACCACAGAGGTAACACCTTCTCTCTGTGCAGATCAGCCAGGGAGCTATTTTAAGGTCCACACAAATCTACAGAGATACAAACCAGCAACAGAAGGATATTTGTGATCTTGGTTAGAAGCAAAGCCATGGAATCCAAGGCTGTCCAGAGGGCCTGTGCTGGCTGCAGGCTGGGTGTCAAGCCTTTGTTTGGCCTCGAAGGCAAACAGAAGTAAAAGGAAATAGAAATATCCCATATTACAAATCTAAGCTGATCTGAGTAAAGGCCTGGAGAAGGAAGTTTGTTGGGCCATTCACTACAGCACAAATCTCCTTTCAGGCAATTCAAATCACACCTATTGCAACTTGACTTTCTTTTAGTGTAAGTAACCAAATTAGCTTTAAATGCTGCTTTGACAATTCAGCTTTAAACTCATCACAGTAATCTTAGTGGTAGAGTTCGAATGAAAATGGTGTTTTATGTACTCTGCCTGCAGGGAGAACTTGAGAAAAAATACTCATGGTTGGAAAAGGGATGGAAATCCTTCCTCTGTGAAACAAAGGCATGCCACTGTGTCGTAATTCCCAAGTCCTTTAAAGTTATGACAGAAGTTGACTGTGACTTGTTCATTCAGACTGGCTATTCCAATTAGCAGCTACTTGCCCTCTTTGGTTTGGCCTGCATAGATAGATTTGATCTGATGGACAGGGCATAAATGGGGCTAACTAGCTCTTTTGAAGATACACTACAGGTCTAGTTTTGACATGGAGCCTAAATCCAGGGAATGCACAGGATATCCTACCTAGGACAGGATGAAGCATGAGCTCTGTCAAATTGGGACTCCCAGGGATTTTACTGAATTTGCAGTTGCTTTGATTTCAGTGGTCCTTTTATGGAATGAACTTGCCTCTTGGAGTGGCACTGGACATGGTGGCATGGAGGGAAAGGAGCAAAGATAATTATTTCCCTGTGGGTTAAATCTGGGGCACCAACAGTGACTGAGAACCTTCTGTCTAAACTTCACAGATAAACATTTGTGTTCTACCAAGGACAGGCTGCCCAGACAAACTTAGGATGGCTAAGCTCACTCTCTTCTGCTGAAATCCATGAAATTACTTCCAAATTAGCCTTGGCTTTGTTTGCATCCGTTCCTAGAAATGTAACAGTGTTGAGAGGCATCTGCTTCTCCAAAATCCACTCCATGATAAAGCCACAAAAGCTTCCATTCTGAAGGCAGTGAAGAAGTGTTTCATGAAGGAGAAGCCAAACCTCCAGACTCTGCACTGAAAGCACACACAGGTTTCTTGGCCAGTGGTCTCCTGATTATCCATCCCCCACCGTGCAGACTGAATTCTGCTGCCTTTCACTGTAATGTTCAATAGCAACACACAGATCACTGTACTCTGATGGGAATTACCATAAGCAACCCAAACTATAAACACTCACTTGAAGAATAAACTCATTTCTGCTTTTGTTAAGCACCATGTACTTAAATCTCATGAAAACATGAATAATCACTACTCTATGCACCATCATAGAACAACGGCAATTAAATCTGGTTAAATCATTATTTTGATTAAGTATCAAGTGATTGCTGACTATCTCTTTTAACAGACAATGTTCTGGAGTCCCAAAGCAGTACTTCAATATGCATTATCTGTGTGTAAGTTCCACTCATTTTAGAGTTTACTTAGGGTTCAGTCCTGACAGTCACTTCAGTAAAGTCTCTCGAACACCTTCCTTGTCAGGGTACAAGCTGGACACAAATCTACTGGTGTGGAGAGATACTGTGACTAATTGTGGCTGTCCCCATACACAGGTTCTTGGTATATACAGTATTTGCCAACAGTCCCCTTACAGTAGCAAACAGTTTTTCTATACCTGTACACCAGTTTGGAGAAATCTTTTTTCAGTCAGATTATTAATACCACATTCTCATTAAGAGGAGCGTCAGCATATTTGCTTTTTTTTTTTTTGCATTTGTATCTTAGCAGTTAATAATCCCAGCTAAAACTTGGGGCCATAAAAATAGCCCCATTTGGAATCAGCATTTTTCCCTCTGGTGTACACAGGAAGGCAAACAGTGCAGGGAAGGGACAGAGAGCCCTCAGTAAACACCAGGGAAGAACTCGAGCAAATGCTGGCCAGGAAGAACAGAGGTCAGACAAAACTTGGCAGCAGGGCTGAGGGGAACATGTTTGAGGTTTACTAAGCAATTACTGATTGTGGTCAATAGCTGCAAGGTTGGTTGTTTGGGTTTTTTTTAGGTTAAGTAAGTCCCAAACTGCGTTCATAAATACTGTAAATTAAGAATATAAGACTGTTAAATTGGAAGGATCCAATCTTCCCTGTGCGTGTGTTAAATGATGGTTTTGTGGATGTGTTGAGAAAACCTTTTTTATTGGTCTGATTGAACAATTTTAAATCCAGCTTTTTAAAAGCAGGTGCATAAGTCTGTGATACATACTCCCTTCTTTCTTAGATTAAACTTTTCATTGAGAGGAAGTTGTATTACTTTCTTCTTTTTGGTAAAAGAGTAAATTAATAATGCAGATAATATGAAAAAGTAATTTAGTGTGACATAAAACTGCAGAATTGTTAAAACAGGAGAAGGAACCGTGGTGGTTTATACAGTGCAATATTCATCACTGTTAAAGCTTTTTCACTTTTTTTAGTTTAAAAAGCAGCAAGGCCAGTCTACATGTCTAAAGTAGGTGTGCAAGTCCCAGAAAGAGGCCCTTTTTTGTTTTTTGGACTGGAGAGCTACACGAACAGTGAGATGCAAATACAAATACAGAGATGCCCTTCTCTACCATTTTGCAGAGGCAAGAATCAAACTAAGGATGGAATATACATCTGTGCAGTAGGGTGTTTGTGTTTTTATCAGGTTTGGATTTGCTTGTGAAATAATTCACTCAGCTTTCAGAGCAGTGAGTGCTCAGGGTGCTGCTCACAAGTCCTCCCTCCAAAAAACCCCGTCGTCGTTGAGTTATCCTTTCACAGCAAGTGGCTGGTGTGTCCATGCTTTCCTCCACATCTGCTTTGGCCAGGCAGTTAAGGAGGCAACTGTCAATACCTGACACCCAGCCATTAAAAATGTACTAATGCACCTATTTTTAGATACTATAAATATATATATACCTTAAGACAAATGCGTCCTCTTATCAGTCCGTAAGGAACGGGGCCATAGCACCTGGAATCTGTAGAATTCCTGAGATTATCACCTTCTAACCAAACATGTCCTTTAGGCACCTATGGTTAAGCAAGATTGAAATGTAATCAGAAAACAGAACAGAATGGCATTAAGCACAGTTTGCCTTACACCACCGTATTTTCTGATTTCTGAGCTCTGTATTTCATGACTGTGTAATGAACTAATTTTTTAGCGAATCCAGTAAGACACACTGCCAGATTTGGAGGGATGAGAAGGAGTGCTCCAAAGTATCTCTTCTATCATGTGCTCGAAAACCAATGATTTGCAACAAAAAATCCAAAATGAAGATGTAAGAGGTTAGACCAATGTGACAGGGTCATTAATTTAATAGACTTCAAAAGAGGTCATTAGGATGTTGACTGAAAATCTGCCCTCCTGTCGCAGTAACAGCATGAACAGGGCAGCCACACACTCATCAACATCCTGGGGCCAGCACCAAGGCTAGACCTGTTAGTAGATTCATGATGAACTAACTGGTAATTGATTGTGACATCAATTACGAATAATCTCATCATTTTATCGGAGTAGGCTTGTCAAAGTTCTAATTAAGATCACAGTTCATTCTATGTGCAGGCAGAATCCACAACACATTATATTGCAATAATGATGATCACAAAACAGCAAATCCCTTTTTATAATTTGAAAATTAATGATGGTGACCTTATACTATATGACAAAGACCTTTCATTGCCCATATATATTATGCATTAACTATATTACATACCATAGATTCATGGCATTCACTGGCTGACTCAATGACAAAATGAGAAATAGCAACAGAGCTGTATTAGTTACCTAAATGAGAGTATAAAGCTTTCAGATGTGAAAACGTTGCTCTTATAAGTCTTAAACTAAAATTTCTGATTGGAAGGGAAAACACTATTTTGTCATGTTTTCTTGAAAACATTTCAGATGCAAATAACCTCTTATAAATTACCAAATAAAATCCATAATAATTCTAATTGGGTTTTGTTTCTAAAATTCTAAACCAGGCTGATAATTTAAAAGAAGCAACATAATCTAGATAATATTTAATATGGACTTTAAATTAACATACATTTTTCCAAAACCACGTATGTACTTGAAACATTATTAATACCACAATTCAGAGAAAAAAATATGGAAACTAGCTAAATAAATAAATTATTTCAAATGAAACTGAGTTTGAGCAGTATAAACATGAATGTTTTAGAATTAAGCCACACAGACTCATAAATACAACAGTCTACATAAAGAGAATCCATGGATAAGAGACTAAACAAAATGAAATGCCACTCTGGGTGTAAAGTCTGGTTGTAAAAACCCAGGCCCTCCATTTGAGGAAAATGTAGTTGGAGTGTGATTTGTACTCAGAGGTGTCTGGCCAGGGAACACTTCTTGGGAACCTTGTCTTTAATGAGCCTTTTAGGCTCCTGCTTAGCCCTGCTCCCACGTGGTGTTACCAGCCCAGGATCCAAGGATGGAACACTATTCCCAGAGCCCCTTTGCTGAGCCGTGGCAAATGTATAAGCTATGGATTGAGAACCAGTGGTTTGTCCCTGATAGTGGCAAAATGGGATACTGACCATGGAAAGCACAAGTGAGCCTGTCCATCTCCTCCCTGTATTTCTCTGGGAGCCAGGAAAGGTGCTTCAGGCCTGTCAGAGGGCACAAACCTCCTCATTTTAGAATCTACAGTGGAGCTGTAGACCAGCAATATGTCTAAACCCTTTTGAAACCTACTGGTCTCCTTCCAGAGTGTCCTGTATAAAGGAAGGCCACCTCCTTTGTTTTAAACTGATCCACTAGTTCAATCAAGCTCCTTTGCTTCTTGTTCTGCCACTCCTTCCATACAGGAATTCCAGATTCAGCTTGTCTGTCACCTTTGTTATTTTGTAGGCTTATCAGATTGCTGGCACATGCATGGAAGGCCTTCCTCTGGGAAGACCAGCTGGTTTCAGCTTCATGAATTTGGCCCTCCTCCCACCCAAGCAGATTTGCAAACAAAAAAACCCAACCAGAAGTCAACTCAAAATAAATAAAATTTAAAAAGACTCTATCCAGAGTCAAAGGAACTGTGTGGAATATACATCTCATCACACATGGACATATATTTTTGGTAGGTCTCTGTTTGAGAATGTACTGACTCCCATTTTCCTCCAAAATTCCATGGTACACAGCCTACCTAGGATGTCCAGCAGGTTAGCTGGATATTCATCTTCACTTATTTGCAGTGTCCCCACCCTGTGTCCACACCTTACATGAGTGTGTTTTTCAGGTGTATATCACAACACAGAGCAGTGTCCTGACCCCTCTGGTGCCCAGCATCTACTGGAATTCCAAGCCATCTATCAAACTACTGGCACTGGGAAAGACTATCCCAGCAAACACACACACAGGAGAAGCAGGAATTACTATGAAAGGGAGAGGTTTTTTCGTTAAATATAAAAGGTAAACCAAGGTTAACATTTCATGTTACTGAAAAAGCATCACTTCTGTTCCACTCCCAGCTGTACTGGTTCCTCTGCTTTCTCACTTCCCCAAATTCACAGGCAGAATGTGAAGCTCATCTTTTATTACCTAAAGTAAAGACCCACTCTTAACTCAGGTATATCCAAACACTTCCTAGAACATTTCCCATTTTTCTGCCGTGCTCCAAAAGTATGAAAAATACAATAAATTCCTTTTGCCAGCAATGGCAGAACACTACTTCCAACACTAGGAAAAATTACTTGTCTACACAAGATGTTCACAGTTTGCATTCCAGGTAGAACATTTGCAGTAAAGTATCTTCCTACATCCTGAAATTCACCACTTAAGGTAACTTTTTCTCCATGGAAGGTATGACAGGCCCCTATACCTCCAAATTTGTCATTTAGGGCACTGTCACAATGTATGATCCATCTAGAGATAATGCACTGTAATACCTTTGTGTGGTGTCTGTCCACCATCTAGGCACTTCACTACAACCTGGAATTAAGACAAGCAATAAAAATTACAAGAATTACGGGAAAATGTAAAACCAAATACCAGTGACAAACCATAACAATTAAAAAAAAATCTCAAACAAAAGTTGTTTAAACCCCTCTGAAATAAAGACTAAAGCCAGAATCCTTTAAGGCTTTATGCCCCAAGCCATTCTACACCATATCACTGATCTCAGTGGAATTACTCACATGGAATAAAGTTCAGTTGGAGTATCAACCTTTGCAGAATCAGGACTCAATCTAAAACACTGCAAAGCTGTGCAAGCCCAGCTGGAACAAGATACATTAACCAAAGAAAAAAATGAACTGCTGAAAACCTGTATTTTTAGTAAGAGTATATAAATGACACACCAATAGGCTGCTGCTGCCAAAAACCCAAGGCAAAGGGAAAGCCACTTGTGTGACAATTCACAGCCTTGCATTTTGGTATCTACAGGACATGGACAAAATTATTTGTATCCAAGGAGTACAACTGAAAGCACAGCTGCCACTACTGCACACAGAGGGACTGTGGATACAAAAACACAGTGACAAATGGGAGAAGCATTAACTTGGGCTGGGCAATGTTTCTGCTCTCCCCCACACACAGGCCAGAACTAAGATGTGAAAAGTCTCACAAGCCCAACAACTGAATTCTCACAAGAGCAGTGGGTCACATGCAGAACCAGCAAGTCCTCAGCAGGGCAGGTTCATGCAAAAAGCTACCTCTGATTGTCTGCAGACTCCTCCCTTTGCCTGAGCAACCCCTGTGCCTCTGGTTTTGTGCAGATTATCCGAGGATTTATTTCCAAGGAGCAGCAGTTCTCAGGCAGAACCGGTTGTCTGCGGGGCAGCTTATACGTGTGGGAATAAAAGACACCATCAGACAGGACTCTCCCCTTCTCCCTTCCCAGACTCCAGCACAGGAGCAGACAGACCAGGAGAGCAAGACTGTCCCTGAGAACAACTGAGCTTGAAGCAGCAGCTTCAGATAAATAAATGTCTTTCACCTCAGATAAATAAACATCTTTCCCTGCGACAAACTGGCTAAATTTGCAGAGCTGTTGGAATTTACTCAGTTAAAGTGGCAAGACTGAAGTACATGGCAGGTATTTGATGCACACTTAAAGCATGAAACATTAATGAAATGGGGAAGGGGAATCACCAAATAATTATACTCTTCTGGTAGCTTTACATGACACCAAACTTTTTTCTTTGATTACTCTCACTGTCTTCAAACCCAAAAGACGAGAACCCTGCACTGCATTAACTGGCATACTAGAAAACTAATATACTGCAAACAAAATTAACAGATTAAATTATCTGCCTCAAAAATACCCCCAAACCCAACTAAGCGAAGACGGGCTTCTGTGGTTTGGGGGTTTTGTTTTGGTGCAGTTTTTGTTTGTGATTTCTGGGGACGTATAAACAGGAATCTCTTGCAATCTCAAAGCACATCAGCGCCTACGGTCAGCTGGGAGCAGATGAAGTCTGAACTTTCCTAAGGTCACAGGTATTCACATCACCTCCAGCAATATCAAAAGTTTCAAACTTAAGAAGAACTTTAAATCATTGCCATCTTTTCTTTTCAGTTCAGAGGCTTCCTTCTTGAGCTACGATAAGAACTAATCTCAGTGCTGGACAAAAGAATAAAGTCTGCAAGTTCTCATCTATCCCTACTAAGGTCTATTTAAGTGCCTCCTCCTTTGGTACAAACAACAAATGTAATTGCTTCATTGCCTGCGGGTGTTCAGTGAACAAAAGAAGCTTTTGTGAATAAACCACAGGTGTTACCTTTCTTGATTAAAGTGAAATATGATGAAAGATTCTACAATATCGAATGACAAATTTACTAAATACTGATTAAATTGCCTTATTTAAGTAAATTGCATCTAGTTAGGATAAAATATACACCATAGAAATGCGGGAGTTTGTTTTATCGCTCTGTACTTAAAGTCTCACATAACTACTCCTTAATCCTTTATTTATTAATTCAGCACCAAGACTGAATAATGCTTAACAAATCCTTTTTTTAATGATCCAGTTGCTCTAGGCACTGTTTCTGTAGGCTTATCGTAAAAGTTGTTCATATTAAGGTTGCCATCTGTACAAAACACAACAACGTTAATTAGCTCAATATTTTCAAAATCAGCACAAGCATTTACATTTCTTTTTTTTTGTGTGCTGAAAAAGCTATGAAATTGTAGCAACCACACTGGAACTTAAACAGATGTTAAATCAACATCTTCTATGTATCACTTAAAGGCTGAAATACCTGGAATTTAATAATTCCTAAAAGGATGGAACAGAATGAACGACCTTAAATTCATAGGTACTTCCAAAAAGTTTACCATTTTCCTTTTACTACTGGACAGTTTAAGCTGCTTATGAATAAGACATAATGTACTTGCCCAGTTTGTTTAAATACTCACATTAAAAAGAAGAAATTAGGATGACAATGAAACAGTAATGGGTTTTTATATAGAAATTGAATTCGCTGTGATTAAATATATTATGAATTCATTCTCTGTATTGTCATTTTTTTATTTTAATAGAAGATTTATAAAAAAATATATGAAGATTTGTCTATCTTGTCAGTTTTGAAATTACTCATTAACCAATATTAAAACCACATAACCTTCCATGCTAACCCACAAACTACAAGGGAACTAAGGGATATCCACTTAAACTTGAATTTATGAGACATTTTACTCTACCATGCAAGCACACCGGCTGAGTGTTGTTCTGTAACAAAAAATTGGGGAAGCAGTTACAGTAACCTGTCAAAGCATTCACTGGTTATTTGAATGTTTGGTTTTTAACCACTGTTGCTCCTTCTTAACTTTGTGTAATGTACAAATTACTACTGCTGTTCCTGAGCTTAACTACTTGGAACTTAAAAGGTTTGATCACTGCACTCACTGCTCAATAGGAAAGGCCACAGAATTTTCACATCAGAAATATCTATACCAGTCAAATGAGAAAAATATCTGCTTTCTCTCAGTACCACTTTTTACCTGTTGCAAGTTTCCAAATAATAATAATTCAAACACTCACATGCTTTGATTACTTTACTTCCATAAATATTCTCACATGATCTAGATCATACTGTTAAACACACAGATCTGAATCAGTCTGAAAAGCTATACATCTGATTTTTAAAATCTCTAGCTGCAAATCTAAATTGAAATTATTAGTCATCTTTCCTTTTCTAAAACTGTTATCAGTTAAAATTCAAACTAACTTGTTCATGTTCATAGGTCAAAACTTTCAAACCCAAATCTAGCTACATTTAGGAACTCCTAAAAAAAAAATTCAGAACATGGCAGTGATTCATCACTCCAGACTATTAATTAGCTTTCTAGATTTACAGCAGATCAGTATTTTGGAAGAAAATATTGATTACAAATCCAGCAAAGATTACTTAGCAGTTTGCACAGACCTTTCTCACAGCAATAATTAAGAAGGACTTGATTCTTTTCTTCTCCAGAAACCAGATGATGTTAACAGGGTCATCCAAAAGCATAGGTTTGAGAACAACAACAAAAAAAACCACCTGTGGGTTCAAACCCCAACTGGAAGTCACTGGTTAAAACACAGAACCCACCAGCATTGCTGGCGTGGCCTGGGCAGAGCCACTCCTTACACAGGGATCTGCAATTCAGCCTGGAGGCAACAATGGCTCACAAATCCCAGGAGCAGGGGGAAGGAATCTTAAAGGTACTGTCTGCCAGCTCCTGAGCAGGGACCTGAACCTCTGCTGCACAGCTGGGACAGTCAGCCCAAAACTTGTGCTCAGAAGCTTCACTGCTTGACTAGTTGGTTTGATCATCCTGAGCAGCTCCTGAAAAGCGATTACCGAACTCTGAGCAGAGGAATAACAGAACCATGAAATCCCAAAGGTTCAAACTGATCTGACCAGCACAGACAAAGCTGTATTCCGCATTTCCACACAGGAAAAACATCTAGTGCTATAAATGCAGAAATTGGTCACCCTGGAACAATTTTCCCTCAAAATCACGGAGGAGGTTTCTCTAAGGTTTTCCTTCAGGGATGAACTGGCTGCACAGGAGCAGCGGGGCAGTGGCAGAGCTGCAGTTGGCCTGCACTCAAGACCAGCTGATAGTGCAGCTGCCTCCTCTTGGTTCAGACAGTGGGGGAGAAAGAGCTGTTGGAGAAAGATGTGAGAGACCTTGGTGGGGGCTCACTCACTGAGGAGCCTCTCTCTGCTGCCCTGTGCCCAAGCCATGGTGCAGACACTGCCCTCCTCCCCTGACCCCACTGAGACCTGGGGGAGCTCTGCTGAACAGGACCAGAGCTGTCGTGTCAAGTCCTGCTACTTGTATGTTCTTGAAATATCAAAACCAAAACTGCAAAGGCATAAAGACCAATCCACTTGAGCAGAAGAAACCCTGGAAATGTTGGGAAGCAGGCTGATAAAATTCTTTGTGTTTGTTTTCCCTTCGATAATTTAGTTTTGACAAATCAGAGTTTCGATCTTTAATTACTGCTCAGAAATTTCAAGATCAGCTTGAGTCACAAACTCTCTGTACTGGGACATGGAGAGATCTGCAAACTGAACAGATTTGCAAACCAAACAAATATTGCAAATCGGTTCTCCTCTCCCACCAGACATTTAGCACAGCCACTGGTTAAAATTATGGCATCGCTTTCTCTCAGGCCTCTGGAACACTAGAACTAAGGAGAAGGAGAAAGGAAATTTCTTACTCTTTCTCCTGGTCAGCAACAATTAAAACTTACCTTATTGATGTACTAAACCATGAGTATAAATGAACTATTAAGATACTTAGAAGAAAGGAAAAAAGAATTAGAGTTTTGATAAGTTTATTTTTAATTGCTACTCGGGCTATTTTAAAGAGACTATCAATGGCACTGAGTGCCCCGAAACATCAAACCACTTTTCAGTGTCTTACACGGTGTACCCAAACCTGCAGAACTGTCTAGTGATTATGACAGTGTGGTGTTTGCACTATGTTATTCTTAGTACCCACATAATATTCTTACTGCATGTGACAAGGACTGTTTAAGAGTTAATAGTGCTGTTGCAAGACCACTTGTGTGATGTGCAAACACAGGGAGATGCATTATCTTGGGCACACCACAGGATGCAGGGATGCCATCTCCACAATGAACCTCATTTTAGCACAAGGTAAACACACTCCCCCCCCAGCCACACTCCCAGCATTAGTGCTGAGCTGTGATTGATCACCAGCACAGGGTTGCTGAGATATGGATTTGTATGGCAGCTTTTTATCACCAGGACTTGCAAAAGGCAGTTCCTTATTTACAGACTCCGGCTCTATTAAGTGACATTATTAGGGACTACTTTTGTTTAAGTGACACAAAGGCTCAGCATATTGGTGGTTTATGACACACAAGCTGTTTTAATCTGATGGCTTCCCCCTCACTTTTTCAGCTTGTAAATAGGAGCTGCAGCACAAGAACATATGGCACTAAAGAAATTAAAGCTAAAGCAAATGGCATTAAAACAAATTCAAATATAACAATAGGATACTCGATCTGAATTATAAACCTGGATCTGTATTAAGACTTCTCCATCCAGGAAATAAAAGATTAAATATGAAAAAGAACCTTTCAGCTGTTGGTTTGGGGGCTTTTTATGAGACCATTTCAGGAGTTTCCTGTATTAATTTCCTTATTAATCCTTATTATTTAGTTCTTATGGTTAAATTAATAAATCAGTGAAGATATTTTGTAATAATTGAAACTAGGTCTGAATACCACATTCCTAAAAATGAGTTGTTTACCTTTTTAACTTTTGGGTTCATACCTCATTGCTTCTCATACAGTAAAAATACATTAGGCATTCTTAAATGTTTATTACAGCAAATACACTTGCCTCTATTTATAAATGTTTATAAAAACCAAAAGAGCCCAGCAAAGCTGCCAGCCTAATGCTCACATTTCAAACCAGATATCAACAAAAAGGACAAGTACATTTTCCTAACTTTGTAATGCTATAGCAGCTTATTCAGGAAAGGAATTTCATTATACTTTTCACATAAACAGAAAGATTTCCCCCATTATTATTCTACAGCCCAACTGCAACCTCTAGCATATGAAGCATCATGTACCATGAAGAGTCCAAAGAAAAGACATTTCTTATGTACTTAAATTGTAATTTAAGCACATGGTTAATTTATACCAATCAGTTTTATATGTGGGATTAGTTCCATCATCTTGTAATCCAACAACTCTGTCCAAGACAGCTTTTTGGTACAGCTTTACACTCAGTGCACTCTGACAAAATAACAGCTTCAGTTATGTATAGCAGCAAAAGTATTTTTTTCTACCACTGTAAAGACTTTCACGTCATTGCCACTGCTATACTGCATTTCTACTCAACTGAAATACCACTTTTCAGAACAACTTATTCAACTTATGTATGACTTTTTTGTTTGTTTCATTTTTATTATAGCCTGGAAGGTTGGTTTGTTGTGTTAGGTTGTGTTTTTTTTCTTTAATCTACAGGTTGTTTGCAGCAAAAAAGTATCTCATCTGTGTAATTTTACAGAGAGCAAGTTGTAAAGTTCTCTGCTCTTGTATCTATACTGCATTTATCACATACAAGGCATGCTGAGAAATACATCCATGAATGAACCAGGATTGGATGTAGATCTGATTTTTGGCATCCTCTCAGGCTTCAGAATAAGAATCGTGCATGACAGTGCTTCTAAGCACAAACATCCCTAACTTAAAAATCTGTAAAACATGCCAACACTAATGCTGACAGTCAGTACAGACTAAGCACAATTCCTGCTAACATGACTATAAGGATTCTCCTTTCAGGGAGGCAAGAGAAGCAGCTGCTTAGAGGTAATTTCACCCTCAGCTGCATTTACATCGTACTGCCATTATTCTACCATCTCCAGGAACTGGCTAACTCATAAAACCTAACCAGCAGCAACAAACCCAAAACCTAACCAAACACCAGCACAGAATGAGGCAGAGGCTTGATCTGCCTAAGCTGGTAATATTTCTGGCACCTGATATTTCATATTTACTGTAATAAGTCTGCAAACATGACAGTAACTGTTCACTACCACTCCCCCAAACGGGAGACAAGTAGTCAAGGAAAGCTGAGCAGTTCACAGTAATAAAAACAAGGAATCCTCTGACCTTACACACTTTGGAGTCACAGCATTCACACCCCACTTGGGAGATTTCTCATTTGAAAAAAAGCAGTTAGTAGCCAAATATGAACAACAAAACTCACACTTCCTAGGCTTTCCTCACTTCAGGAGTGCCTGCAGTGGTACCTTTCCCTGGCAGACAGACCCCCCCAGGCAGCACTCTTGGCCATTTGGAATCCTAGCTGAGGCCTCTCCTCAGTTTGGGCAATCTTTTTTCTTCAAAAACCCAACTCAGGCAAGTATCAACAAAACAAACAGCCAGTTCTCTGTGCATCTGCTGCTGCTATTTGCTTTGAGGAATTTTGTGTTTGAATTCAAAGTGCACAGCACAGTGATTCACTAAAACAAGGAATGTGATTAGGTAATTGCCTAAACACAGACACGTATCATTTCCCCCTCCCCAACAAGAACAATTAGTGAATAATTCAGCCTCAGCTATGAACACAAAGTGCAGATATCTATGTTGAGAATATGCTCTTCTGTAAAGGAAGCATCTCCTGAACAGATGGAAAGATCTACCTTTTCAACCACTAAACACAGGAGGAAAACAGATATGCAGCAACAACGAAAGCATTTCCATTTAGATCCTTTCTCCCCCTAGATACAATTTATGATGTAAGAATTACAAAAGCTCTGTTGTATTTCCATACATTAGCCTGGATGAAAACAGGAAATGGACTCTGCATTCCCCATCCACTCCTTCTCCCTACATTATGGCTTAAAACTGGAGACAAGGAATCTTGCACCTAGGGCAGAAATTGTTCTGCTGGATATTCATTTGGTTATTTCAGGGTTTCCAGAAAAGCTGACATCCTGTTAAGTACCAATCTTTCCTGAACTTCCTTTTCAAGACTAAGATAAGTGAGGAACAAGATGCTCAGAGAAACTCAGTTTGTGTCTTCTCTCAGTGTACACAGAATCCAGGTTTCCATTTCAGGTTGGTCTGCTCTGGGAAATTCCTATTTCACTGCAATGACTAGTTCCATCAGAGTCAGAGAATTTCTTCAGCTTGGTAAGAAAGCTGGGTTGGTGTCTGGGGTTTTTTGTAGATTTTTACTTAGCTAAACAGTTAACACAACTTGATCTATGGAGAAACTAGATGTTCTGTCCTCCCCTTGTGATCATGAGGATGAAGTGGATGAAAGGGCAACATAATATCTTTCTTTTAAGATTCAGAACACCTGTGAACATCTGCTGGCTCCACAAGGTGCTGAACAGAGGTAATGGTCAAAAACGCTTTGGGGACAAGAAAAACCCTTTTTAAAGGGATCCCATTTTTCTGTGATCATGATTCATGAGGATTTTTCTAATGACAGCCTAAAAAGGAGTTGCTGAAAACATTCTGTCACAGATCTTTCCAAGCTTCTGTGAAGTATATCTGCAGAAGGACAAGTGAGTGTTAAGGTTATTTTCCCCTTCTCATTTCATCTTGTTACCTGGCTTTTTGGAGAAGTTAGGAAAGCTACTGCTTTTCCAACCATACTCAGGAAAATTAAAATATTGTTACATTGAAATATTGAAATATAGAGACATACACGAAAGTGTAATTTTGAAAAAATCTCAAAGTTATTGCTGAGGCAAATATTCACTTCTTAGCATTTAAAATACATGGACAGTTTTGCCTGAAGAACAAGCCTTGGAGTCTGCCACCTGTACTGCACTTTATGCAGAGAATTTCAGAGCATTCTTCCAGGGAAGAAGACCTAAGCAAAGGGCACAGCAAAAATATTATCTGCCCACACTTCCTACAGAGACAAAAGGCACTGAGAAAGACAGCTTGCCATACACAGAGTTTAAAATTACAGCATTTTACTGTACATATACAAGAAGAAATAATAATTTATGAATGTCGTAATTTATGATTTATGATGATACTCAAATATTGCAAATCCTTTACAGACTAGCAGGCCTACTTAAGTAATCATTAATTTACAAAGCAAGAAACTCTAATACTTACATAGCTGTGACTCTTAAGGAAATCTGAAGGGTTGCTTGTGCAGACTTTATCCCCTTCCAAGCCAATTACTCTTTTACAGATATTTGATTTGGGGTCATTTGGGCTTTTCACAATTACAATATCTCCTCTGAGATGAAAAAACAGAAACAAACAGAAGAACTCTAAGTACAAACTGTTTGGCTGAGTACAAGAGTATCAAGGGGTATACACCAAAAATATCCACACAAATATGTTCCCTTCTGCTTAAAATTCCTGTCTACAACTTTGGTTTCTTCAGTTTTACTCAGGGTGTAATTTTACACAGAATTCTTTGTGTTATTTAGATCATTTATGAAACATTTAAGACTACAACCTAAGGACAGTAATACCTAGAGCTTGCTTTTCAAGTGAGACAAAAAGGCTTAGAGGAGAAGTTACAGTCACACAATAAAATCGCTTTGGTGGGGGGAAAAAGGATTTTCTCCATTTTTTGGACAAAGCTGTAAAAGTGACGTAGATTTTATCCTAGATTAATTCTGACAAGTTGTTTGATGGGCTGTATGTGCTGATAACTTTAACCCTCCATCAAACACAAGGCAAAATTACAGTTTAGAAGCAGAAACATATAGGAAAAATAAAGGACAGACGGAATGTGGTTATTGGCAAGCTCTGGCAAAGGGGATGGAAAATCCAGGAGCGTACTTTCGGATGCAATAAAAGTGGCGGCTCAGGTTCTCTGAAAACACAACATCAGAATTTTGAATGGTTGGTTCCATTGAAGGTCCAGAACACTGAAAATTAAAAATAAATGAGAAAAAAAAAATTACTATTTCAAATTATTTTTATCCGAAATACTTTAATATTTCAATTATTTGCTAATATGTTAGAAAAGGTAATGTAGAAAACAACTAAAAATCCTCCAAGGAACGTGATACATTTAAAAGCTGAGCACAGCCTCCAGAGCACCTCTAACTGTGTTACAGCTCCAGATTTGCTTGGAGTTGGTCCTGAACTGTGCTGGGTGCTATGGACTCATTTCAGCACCTGAATCTCTAAGAAATTATGAGGAGCAGCGCTCGAAGCTCTGCCACGTTACCCCTTTCTTCAGCCTCTGTAAAACAGAATCATCACAGAAGCTGCAAGAGCAGCTCACAGCCACACTCCCCCATGACCAGCAGCAGTATCTGCTGGAAAAGAGGGGGAAGGAGCATAAAACACCCAGAAATTTGGCCAGAGTTGGAAACAAGAGCATTTCCTATTGGTGACTGCAGTCTTTGTCACAGGATGTACTCTCTGCAAAATGCTTAATGATAGTTTCCTGTTTCCTTCAGTGATGTCTCAAGCAATAAGGCATCAAAAAATATGAATGCCCGAAGTAGAAATAACTTTCATAAAGGTTGGACCTGCCCCCCCAAAAATAGGCATTTAGTAATCATGCTCTGAAAACGCTTCAAAGAAAATCGATAAATTTGAAATACTGACATGATCACACAGGACAATTTCAATATTACAGTTTTATCTTCTTTAAAACGTCAGGAAAACGAAAAGTTACCACAACAATTCCTCCAAGGTACTCAAAGGCGCAGTGTGCTATGCAGCCATATTGCACAGTGTAACCCAGAAAGCGGAAGGTTTTCCCTAGGACATCGCGGAGCATCCTACAGTGTCCCGTCGTTCAGCTGGCTCCAGCCTGCAGGGAAAGAGAAGAACCTCACTCATCTGGGAACAAGCAAGCTGACATTTACAAACCTCTAACATAAGTATTAAAAATACCCAGTGTGATAAAACTAGCAGATAATCAGATATATGTGAAGAGATGAATACAGCTGAAACTCAAATGCCATAGTGAAGTTTTTCCTTTACCACACAGACCCCTCTCACCAGCTTGTCACATTCAGCTGAGTACACTGTCACTCAGATGCAGTTATTTTATTTAATAACACCTGATGGAGTTGTTTTAATCATGTGAAGACAGGGAAACTTAGATTGCTGTTTTCCTTAAAGCACCAGCATTTAAAACTTAACGGCAAAATAAAGCAGCACCAAACCATCTGAAGCAATTCAAACAACTGAAATTACTTCCACAGAAAACTGGAGTAATCAAACAGTCAACAGAAACTTTAAAAGCAACCTGGCAATCAATTAAATGAAAAAAAGGCTTGAAGAACTAGACAAAATAAGAAAAAGGGAGTCCTGAACGGCTTGCCTAAGTAAGGCTGTCACAGGAAAAGTTAGGATATCTGATAGTTCTGGAGCTCTGGAGGTGAAGCAGAGCTTTCCTTTGACTACCAAAATAGTTGCATATAAAAATAAGGCATTAGGTCTTTTTGTTCTTAGCTATGGTACCATGGCATAAGTTCTGCAGCACATTAGACTGCAAATATCTTCTGACTCCCTCCCCCAAACATTTGAGTCCAACTCTGATTAGGAGATCCTGTTCCTGCGATGCTAATTTAATTAAAATATTTCCTTACCCCAAACTGTTAGGATAGTTACATATATGTATCTTAAGGAAGTAGAAAACAGACATACTGAAGCAATTGAAGCAAGTTTTAAATTCTGCAAGAAACATACCCTCTTAAACTCGGTATTGCCTTACCATGAACTAAAACAACTGCAAGATTTCCCTGATTTACTGAGTCAACATAGTTTGCTAAGCCAACAGAGTATGTTAAAAAGCAAAAAAAAAAAAAAGAGAAAAATGCTGTGTTTGTACAATATGCTCCATTTAATAATGAAGTAAAGACATCCCCTTCTACATTTCATGATGTTTCACTAACTAAAGACAGCAATTTAAAAGTGCACAGCTTTATTTGCACAACTCTTACTGGAAACAGGTGAGCAAAGGAAGGCTGAGTGACAGCAGATGAATTTGAGTTGCACAACTAGTGTGAATTTATGACCACAACTATGCCGTGAGAGAAGTCCATCATCAATACTCCTTAACAGCACCTGCTAGAAAGGAAGCTGCTCAGTTCAGACACAAAAATACTGCACAACCACCCTGTAGTTTCGCTCCATGCTACTCAGAAACCTTATACTCATATACTAAGACAGTACAGAGTTCAGGCACCTGTGGATATCACAGGTAAAGATGAATTGTATAAACCAAGCACTACAATGCCCAGAGTGTGCAGATCAAATGGTGACAGATGAGCAGTGAGCACACTCATCCAGAGAACATGTAAACCTCTCGTGCCAACAGCTGTCAGGCTGTAACTACAATGTTTTCCTTGTGAAACTACAAACAACTGCTACACATCTCAAAATATGAGTTTCAGACTGATTCCTTCTAGATTTTGGATGACACAAACTTCTGGATAGTTACCTTGAACACATGTGTTTCTCTGGGATGTCTCTGAGCAGCTCTGCATGAGGAGCCATAGATTTATAAGCTGTTCAAGGAAACACAGGGTTCAGAGTGAGCTTTGCCTACTGCAAGAGCTGTCACAGTAAAAAACCAACAGCAAGGATAGAACATGAGTGAAGAGCTCTCAAAATTTGTTCCCATTCCTCTTAAAATAAATTCTTAACTCCTGAGACATGGAGTTCACCAGCCTCAGTTTGTAGATGTGGTACAAAGTATTTTTTTTTAAATGTTCAGGCTTATCAGATTTCATAATAATGAAAAAATTCTTAGCTTTTATGTAAGGCTTTTGATTACCACTCAAGAAAGTGAATTTCAAATTGAGGCACATATATATACATAGATTATACACAGTCTGACCCTAACAAGGTAACTTCAGAGGATGGGAGGGTGTTTTTAATGTTAAGGTTCATCTTTAGACATCATTCCATGGAATAACTACAATCCTGAAAGGTTCCCTGTAGTTTTAAGTAACAACTTCAAGTTAATAAGTGAATGTTGCAGCAAGAGTAAGCCCAGCAAAAAAAAAAAAAAAANAAAAAAAAAAAAAAAAACAAAACACTAGAACAAACTAGTTTATTAAAAAAAAAATCATAAAAAAAAATACCTTAAGCACCAGTAAAATATAATTGTTTCCTCTGCAAACTTTGTATCAGTACATTTTTAAAACAATACCATACTGTTGATCACAAGAAGGTAAACAGCTGAACGTTTTTCCACATCATAGTTTTAACACAAAGTGCCATCAGCAGGCAACTCCACCAGATCGAGCATAAGACCATTAAGCACAATAAAACAAATTATTTAAGTCACAGGCCCCTTGAAAACTTAATGGATCAGTTGGATAAACATCCTTATCACAGAACTAGTGGCCTAAAACCTACTGTAATTACTTCCAGGTACTACCTACTATAGTATAGCAGGTAGCTGAAAAATTTATACTGGAATAGACATTGGTTTTATGCTGAACATAGACACTGATTAAAAAAGGTTACATCCATATTTATCACAGAGGACACAATTTGGTTATTTTGGAAGAACAGTATAGTTTATCCCCCGCAGCAAATAAAATGCAAAATGTAATTACTATTATCTCCTGTTCCCTTTTCCTTCCATAGCCTGTGCTTTCATCATTTGCTTTTTTTGTTTGTTTGTTTATAAAAATTAATCACAGCTAGCAGGGCAGAAATCACTTTGAGCCTCATGAATGACATCCAAGAGATGGGAAAGGATTAGTTCTCAGTCGCTGCCAGTTATAGCGCCAGGTGGCTTTTTCTGCAGTGAAGGTGTTACCGATAATCCCATTACATTGGTACTAAATCTTGCAGACATCAAAATTATCACCAAGGTTCCTTTTCATCCCATCCTTTCCAAATGACTGGAAGTCGCTTCACCTGAAAGAAGTCAAATCCACATGCAGCTGCTGTTTTAGCAGCCAGCGGACTCCCTGAGAATGCCAATCGTGATCCAATTTCGCTGTGCTGGTGGCCCCCTATTCCCTGTCCAATAATACATCTGTTAAAAAATCCTACAGCTACAAATCAAGTTTAATCCTACCAGGGACCTCATGTTGGTCTTGTCTTCCAAAAAGGCAGCAGGTTTTGCCGTCTATCTCTGCTAGTGTCTGGGGAATACTCTTTAAATCCCAGCTCTACTTAGAAGAATAAGCTAAGGATCACAAAACATGACCTCAAAAACCCTGATATGACTATATTCTGACCCAGAGGCATTCATTCTAGGTGAAGATTAGAACTTTGCATAATAAGATTACACAGCAAGTGAATGATATCAAGGGACTATCCATATGCAGCCGCCTGCTTTTCTATAGACAGCCTGTGCTCTGCAATATGCAGTGCAGACGAAACAGAGCTTGGGCTTTCTAGCTGAAATAAAATAGATTCACATAAATTAGTTGGCCATTTCCAGATTCCTAAATCCCCTATTACATCTTTTATTGACAGCTCCTGTGAGGATAGCACAAATGGTATTCTCTTTGTACTGTTTGCTTCTGTAACACTCACACTCTGAGGGAAATGCACATAGGTTGTCCAGAAATTACCATCTTGTTTGCTGTAATCTTGGATTACAATTAACTGTGTACATAATAAAATTAGGAAATCAATGAGCAGATTTATCATTTCCAGAAAACCAATGGCATTGTGTAAGGCAGTTTAACATATGGTGCCAAATTTTTAAACACAGGAAAATCGAAGTTGCAGGCACTGGAAGTGGAATTAAACAAATTACTGGACTTGATACTAAACGGATTTTTCACTTTCATAAAACATTTCCAGTCACATTTGCTTTATGTAACACTTCCCAATTCTGGAATTTCACTGAATATTTAGTGACAGTTGATCAGTTTTTCCTCAGGTAACAAACCCTCCTCCTAACATTCCCCACTTCTTACCAGACACCTTTCTCTACGCAAGGCAAACCCGTAACTTGCACCATCTCTTTCCCACCGAGTTACTCTGAGATTATCACTTTTAAAAAACTGCAAAAACCCAAACCAAAGAATAAACTGCACCCTGACTAGGCCTTTCAAATATTTATGTTTGAGCTGTTGTTTATATTAAACTATTATTTTAAAAGTTCTGCGTGAAATTAATGCTCTATGTGCTAGAATAGAGAAGGGTCTATATCCTGTTTATCGGGATTCTTCCCGTATCAGATACATAATAAATACAATATTCTAATTTCAATCTGAAGATTCCAAACATCTAAAGCAAAAGAAGGAATAATTTTCAGAAGGTCTTTCCATGCCGGAGATCAGACAGAACTTGCTTTGTATTTCCAGCTGTTGCTTTACTCTAGAAGAAACACTAGATTAAGTCTGGCAAATCTGCAAAAGCTTGCTGCTATTCTGGAAGAGATCATTTTTACACATTATCTCTACTAGGCACTGACAGTTTGTCTCCAACAAGTGCTCCTCCATCTACTGATCTCAAGCTGATAAGGAGTTCAATCCTGTAAATATAAATTCCCATAACACAATCCCCTGGTGTTAAATAACTAGACACTGCCTACGTACGAATGAGCAATTTTTCAAAGCAGATCTCAAGTAGTTCTCACTGGTTCTATTTACCTTTGGGAAGCAACTCCTAACAATCCCACAACCCCGTACAAAACGCTGTGTTAATGGCCAGATGCATTCCAGGGCTCCTCTCTTCCTCTGGAGCTCCACACACCCATCTTTGCTGAACAACAAATCCAGAGAGCTGAGCCAAGGCGTGGTCATACATGGGCAGGTCTGAGCCTCTCAGGGACGCTGAAACATTCACTTTACAGTTTTCTGCAACGATGTCAAAGTTAGGACAAAC